CAGCTCTTGTGACCCCTGCCTTGTACAAAACAGCCCCCTCTCCACCATTCTGACTGAGAACAGTGGAGGGTTTTCATCCGTTTTCGCTGCGCCGCTACCCCTGTGCTTTGCCAAGGGATCTCCAAAAATAACAAGGAGGTGCCAATTTTAAAATAACGAGTTTAAAAGACGAGACAGCGTGTGGTGGCAGTGCTGTCATTGTCCCCCTGAGCCAGGACCCTCATCGATTTTACCATGGGGGGGTTTCCCCCAGCCCCATCTCTGACCTCTTCCCTCCTTCTGCAGCAAATACTTCCCAGGCCAGGAGAGCCAGATGAAGTTCATTTATCGTGGGCAGCTGCTGCAGGACCAGGGGCGGACGCTCCGCTCGCTCCACATCACGGACAACTGCGTCATCCACTGCCACCGCTCCCGGAGTGCCACCACCACCACCACCCTGCCCGACCCCAGTGCCGCTGCCCCCGATGCCGGCAGCCTTCCCCTCGGCGGGGGGAACCTGATGATCCCCACCGTCATGGTGGTGCTGGCGGTCGTCTGGTATTTCCGTATCAACTACCGTCAGCTCTTCACCGCCCCGGCCACTGTGTCCTTGATCGGCCTCACCGTCCTGTTCAGCTTCCTGCTGTTCGGGATGTACGGACAGTAGGGAACTCGACCAGGAGATGCCAGGGCCGCCCCCCGCCCCCCCCCAAGCCTGTCCCTGTGCAGCACTCGGGCAGGCACTGCTTTCTTCACCGCAATGTTATGGTGACTGGAGCTGGCACGACAAGAGCTTGGCGCGTCCTTCCCAGTCTTGGTGCTGGACTTTGTCCCCCCCCAGAAGGGGCTGTGCTCCCCCCCAGACACTGTCCTCCTCCCTCCTGGCCTCAAGCACAGCTCCGGGGAGGAGCTGGCTCTGGGGCAGGATCTTGGCCTGGGTGAACGGCGTGGTGGGTACAAGCCCAGGGCCCTGCACCGGAATGGGCTGTGGCTTCCTCCCAGAGACTTCTAAAAGCAAATAAAAGGTGTAACGTCAGCCCGAGCGCTTGCCTTCCTGCCCGAGGGGTGGCTGCCGGTGAAACCACAACTGGCTCACCACCCTGCTGCCTTCGCCATGCTTTTGGAAAGGATGTGTTAAAAAAAAAAAAAAGAAAGAAAAAGACAGCCCCATAAGTGGATTTTGGTAAATTGGTGGGAGCCAGGCTGGGCAATGAGAGGTGGGGGTACAATGGCCCTGCTTAATTACCTGTGGTTAATTAAGCAGGGTGCCAGCACCGCACAGCAGCCATGAGCCAGAGATACCAAGTCAAGATGCAGTTTTATTTACAGGGGCAGCCACAACCCACTAATGGGACACACAGACCTTACAATGGCTCAACTACCCGTACGGGATGGAGTACGTGCGCAAAAATACAAGTCTCAAGCCCAGGAGAGCCCCGGGCGGCCGCAGGCTCTGCCACATGGGCAAGGACATGGACCTGGGGGGTGGGGACGGACACGACAGGGCATATCCAAGCCCCCCCCAGCCCCATTACACCCCTTGGACCCCAAATTGCGGCACCTCTCGCAGCCGGAGGGGCTTAGGTTGTGTCGCTCACCCCCAGTCACCATGCCCTCCCCAGGCGGTTTGCAGGGCAGGGTGGGGGGGGTGCCCCATAGGTGGTCCCCCATGTTTCTGGGTGCCTGGACTCCTGTCCTCAGGCCCCAGGGCACGCGAAGGCCAGCTCAGCGTGCTCCAGTGGCCAGGCCCCCCCAGCCCAAAAGCCATGCCAGGAGCTACCGCCGACTGCAGCGGGGAGGGACTGTGCAGGGGTCCCCACGCAGCTGGGGGTTGCCCCCCCCGGGGGGTTTGGGGTGCCCAGGGCTCCATGGGGACCCTCCCCCAGGTCCTGCCACAGCACTAGCCTTTAGCAGCAGTTTTAAAACAATAGTGAATCCAGAGTCGAGAGCACCATAATTTGCAAGACCCACCAAAAGGAGTAGCCACCCCACCCTGGCATCAGGGCAGGGGGGGGACAACAGAAGCAGCCCCCCCCCCCCCGCCCCGGGACATATAGCAGAACTAGGCATGTGAGACAGCCATTGGAGGGGTACAACGGAGCAGACTGAGCCAACCC